AGAAAAATCAAATCACTATCTCAGACAGTCATAACTCATATTGTCAAGGCTATACCATACGCAAGTAGCCACTCGGGTTCTAGACTTCCACTCACTACCACTATACAAACTACAAAGGTACATCGGAAACGTCAAACTCTTGACATATCCTGACGCTCATAATCATGCAACATATGTCCAGTGTCAATCAACAGCGCCAAGCCGGTTTCCACTGTCATTTAGCACCTAGTGGGAATGGACTACGGAGCAGAGCAGAGACTTCAGGGTAGCACGTCCTTAGACTACGGATACTTTCTGTGACACTTTCCAAACAGTCATACCATGCATGACTCAAGATGGAGGATTTCGGCGACGAGACTCAAATGCCCTAAGTCATGAGCCTTCACCCTGTCCGGTCTCCAGTAAACTTCAGATTCCCATCAACCATGTCCATGTGAAAAGCTTATTATCAACGTACCAGAGCATAGGGTTCTGGAATACGAGCATGGCTGTGATGATCTCCACAAAGTAATATGCTGCAGGATCTCAGGCAGACAGCGCTGTCCAATCTTCTGATCCAAATACTCATACTCTATGCATACATTATTGCATGATCATACAGTAAGACTACGGATCTGTATCTACTTCCTCACACCATCCTTTCACCGCCAAGCAAAGTAATTGCGAGCATCAGTAGATCCCCCACTAAGCTGAGAAGAGTAAGTGGAGGCACGACCGTACCCGACCCGAAAGACTAGTGTTGATGGTCTGTGGAGGTCGACAAAGGACCTTGCTGGAAGGAGCTAAGAGTGCGAGACTAAGCCGGAAATATCCAAGCTTTTGGTTGAGCTCCATATCCAAAGGTCGGCAAGCTCGAAATCTGAAACAGACTACGCGTACCCCAACCCTCCAATTACAGGAATGGGCTGACTCGGGAAAAGTGGCGACGAGGTCTGGGTGTTTAGTCCAGTTATGGTATGTCGTGATTCGTAGTGCCTGTCTTGGACTCTTGGTACCGAGTAGAGTGCTATCTATCTAGATATCGAACGACACTGTCAAGTTTCTGGTAGTTATTTCCGTGCTCGACTGCAGATCCTCATTGATGGGGTCCATGGAGATAATTTTCGGGGAAGATCACAAAAGGATTTGCTGTTCATACGTTCGGGGAGCATCCGCAGAGCTTCCTTGGAAGAGGATCCTGTGAGCTAAGAGTTTTCCTGTTGGAGTCTCTGAAGCAGTCCTTCAGACCTAATGATCGGTCTCCTTTCATAGACTTTCGACTAGAGCTCTCTAACTCAGGCCGTAGAAGACACCTCGAACATTGGACTCTTCCTTCCAGGACGGCCCGCTTCAGTACCAGCCTAGAGGTTAGAGGACCGAATCCAAACTTCAACGCAGCGGGCACGTGCCTCCAGCGCCGAGCACGTGCCTTCAGCATCGATAGTAATGGTAACATCTCCGTCCTCTGCCGCCACCATAATCAATGATCTGGCCACTTTTGCTAGACATTGTCTGTCTGTGCGCCGGTGATTGCAACCAATTACTAAAACTGAAGCAATGGTCATCGGAGAATGATTCAGGTCGCAACAATTCTACTAATGCCATCAATGCCAAGCGCTTATATGTCCTCTTAGGATGTCTCTATCCTGACGGGACTGTATTCGTTACGGAGAGTTAAGATGGCACCAAGCATCTCAGGCTAGCCATTTAATCTAAGGCGATCCGCGAGGCTGTACAGAGTATATTTTATACTACACCATCGTCTCAAATGTCAAATAGATTGCTACTGTCGAGTATTAACAGAGCTAAATAAGCCATAATCTGTGGCTACTAGCAGGACACAAATGTCATTGGTCGGGAGGACTTTACTTCCAGCCTCGCCAAGTGGCCAACTTGCTGCTGTGGCTGGTCTAAAGCTACCCCCCCAGTATGCCGAATGCAACCCCCGGCACTTACGTTAGACGAAACACACAATGTGGCCAACAGAGCAAGGATTAAGGAATCACTGCGTGCGAAAAAAGCTCGTGATGAAATCGCCATCTGTTAAGGTAGTCTGAAGAGCGCCCCATTGCGTTTCTTCCAGAGGAAAAAATAATAGCATGTCATTAGTGGGGAGGACTATTGTGGTTGATCCTCATCATCAGAGAAGATCCTACGTCGAGGGGTCAGACATGTGCACTAATGGCAACCCCTCAGCGCTCACAGCCTGATTGTGTTCACTGGGTGAGGCTACTGCATGCTAAGTCTCTACGAGGACGCGGGATGCAGATTGCCCTTCGATTTGTGGAGGTGGACATACTAAACCATGGCGCTAGCCCGCTACTGTACCGTACCATAGAGGGAGGAAGCTGTCCTGTGTGGGTGTTTTCTGTTCCTGCATTGGTCGGCAACTGGCATTGGTCGACGATGCCGAGTCTAAGCCATCTACGGTATGTTGTTGATCTGAAAGTCTGATAATAATAATATGGGCGGCGGACAGCCAAAGCGTGGGATCAGCCTTCCAAAGTTCCCGAGTCCGCCATAGTCTATACGACCAGAGAAAGTCTAAGAACTCGTATCTCTCTTGGGTATGGAAAACCATCAAACTCTCCATGTGGCTCTGATCTCCACGTTCAGAACGGACAGCAAGGGTGACGAAAAACAGAGTTTGTCCGGTGCCGCTCACCGTTGACTTGACAAATGCCATTCCTCTGGTAACTCTCGTGACGAAACTCTAACCTGGAGGTTACTGAGCGCTGGGATGGACTCTGCAGCTGTGATGAAGATATGTTTGCCGAGGACCGAGAATACCAGCATATTATCAAGGTAAAGCGGGGTGAGACTGATGTTATCCAGAAATCGGAGCTTCCTCACTTTGCATGACTCAACCTGCTACCTAGCCTGTTAATTGTCTATTTCTGAGACTGCATACCCGCCTATCACGTCGATGGGCTGGATATGTGGCATACCTAGACTGATGGTGGTCCATAACACCCAGACATCCATAACGGGCAGTGAGTTATGAGTACTGGTTATTACGTGTCCCCAACTTGCTACTACAACCGCAAGCCAAAGGATCACCAAGATTTGTGGAGAGTGGCTTGGCCAAGGCTGTACATTTGATTTTCAGTTAGCTCTGAGGGAAATAATCACGGTTTGCTGATGCGGAGAGGTGCAGATATCGAATCGAATCTCCGTATACGAAGCTAGGATAGGCTATCTCAAATAGCGCGATCCCGACAAATCCAGGTGTGAACTCTATCTGGAAGGATTCAATACCGCGCTACTCCACATTCCAAGGTCCCCTTTGACGCCTTTGAGTATTTGGCTGAGAAGCTCAGAGGCTAATCCGCTGCGGTGTTCTCCGTCAGACCGCGATGCTCCAATCGAGTTTCGAATGCGTGGGCGCCAAACGGACGATGCATGAGACAATTGGAACGGTCATTGGTCTGAAGCTGGAAAGAGATGCGATGATACGATGTGCTTTCGCTCCTTTGGGACTTGATTGACGCTGTCTCCAAACTTCAAATCCTTGTTCCTGATCGACGTCCGATCCCGGTCCGGAAATCCTCCCAACCACGGGCTCCAGATACTGTCATTTTGCTAGGCAGAAACCAACTCCTTTCTCTCACTGCTGCTCGGCGTAATGCCGAACAGCACAACAGATGGTCGGTCGAGGAGCGATCTAAGGAGAGAAGCGATAAGCGTATGAGGTATTTCCCTTGGCGGATCCCTCAGCATGAGACCATAGTGGCTGCGCGGTTCCATGGGTCGAAGTGGAAATCATTGGAGACTAATCTGGGTCATAGCACAGAACACGAGGACATTCCAAAGGGTGCGCTGTGCGTACTGAGTATTGCGCCATGACCCCGGAGCAGTGACCAAGGTGTGTCCTTGACTCCTCGCCCGTGCTTGATACTAGTCTGCCTGAGACTTTGGGTGCTGTGGGGAAGAGCTACGGTGAGAATCAAGCTTGTGAGCAGCAGCGCATGCCACGTAGTCCAACACACCAGCATCGACTCTGAGTACCTTTGGGGCGTCTACTGCTGAAAATGGCCCTGCCGAGGTGGCCAAGCCTGCACCTTACACGCAAGAAACTGCCTGAGAACCATGGGCCTTGTCCAACTTACACATACAAGCAGGCTTATTAAGAATCCAAGACGGCAATACAGCACGAGACATCTAGATCACGACAATGCTTATGCTAACCTACATGATCAATACCACCCACCAGCCGAACCCTGTCGACTGTGCCGAAGATGGCTGCATCTGCAGGTACTCGAGAATCCAACGACCAACCACATAGGACCAGGCCATAAATCCTTGCTCCCTGCACCATCCAGGGTCATCCTTAGACAAAAGGGCAACAGTATTTGTTCCTCCTTCTGGAAGTACACGCCCAGCACGACCAAACGTAAACACTAAAAAAACAATCCTCAAACAACCACAATCTACCCACCCGGAATAAACAGGTAAATGCGACAGCCTCAGTGGATGTAGTTTTGAGATCATGCTCCCAGAGGGAGACTCAGTCTCTTCCTATCATATATTCATCCAATTGTCTCATCACAGGCTTTGTCTGAAGAAGACAAAAGGAAGAAAGAGAAGGAGAGAAAATTTCTATGCACTCTACTCGCTTGGCATTTCGCAACCCACACAGAAAACCCCGATTATGTAATTGATACTCATATTCACCGGCGCGTCCAGCCTTCAAGCGGAAAAACAGTCTCTCCATCCTCCGAATCTCGCACAAGGATAAATTTCGTCGCAGCCAGCCAGCATTCTTAGATTTTTCTTTTTCTTTTCTTTCTTCGTGCGGCGACGCAACTACTATTTCACCCGTGTTGCCTGGACATCGATTCTCGTGATGTTATACCAGGTGTCAGTTGTGTCACAGAGCGACGGAATTGCACCCCGGTTCTACTTTATTGGTCTTTCTGAATTTTATCAAGGATGAGACCATTTGGTTTGGGATCGGACAAACTTCACTTTTCTCTCATGTGGGATTGCGATAGAACCGTAGAGAGCAGCTACGGATATTTGAATGAAAATAAAAATTTTTGGGAATTGGATTACTCTTGAAGTCATCGTAGGTCGTAAATCTAGTCTCGTATGCTATGTCCGACACTGTCCTCCGTACGGAATAAGGTACCGTTTGCAATTCATGGAAGAGCTTATTCGCCCGGCTCATCGCCAATCTTCTCCAATTTGCCCATCTCTCTCTTCTCGCCGGCTTCGCCAAAGATCCTGACTCTGTCCACGCGCAGCTTCTCGCTGTCCCCATCGCCATCAACGAAGAAGAGGACCAACGACGTGACATTCTGGAACTTGACGAACCGCAAATCGACCTTCGCCGTCGCCGTCTTGGGATCCCAATCCTCAGGCTGAATCGTCAGAGTCTGCACCGGCGTGATGTCATCCGCCTCGTCGAACCCAAGGACATGCGAGCGGTTAGTGTACAGCTGAATCGTCTTCGGGCGCATCGGCGCCTCGTCGTCGTCCTCCGACGGAGACGCAAGAGAAGTCACCTGCAGCGAATGGACCTTGATCGTCGACTGGAACGGAATAAAAAGCATCAGCTGCTCGTCGGTATCACTCTCCACCCAGTCCGCGGGGGCGCCTTCCTTCTTCTTCCCATTGTCACTCAGCGCGGACGGCTTCGACGGATCGAAAAGTGTCTTCGCGGTGCCGAAGTCGCTATCCCGGTTCAGCAGCTCCAGGCCCTTGGGGTCGTGCTGGTCTGTGATATCGCTGTATCCCTTGGGCACGGCGGCGCCGATCCAGCCGTTTCCGCCGCTGAGATCACCCGAGGCCTCGCCGGAGGCGGAGGTGTCGTTCTTGTTTGCTTCATCGGCGAGCTTGCGGACGGCGTCGGAGAGGGCTTTGGGGTCGGCGCCGCGAACGGTGGAGATGGGGCGGCCTTGCTGGAAAACGATGAAGGTGGGCATACTGGTGGAACCTGTTAGTATCTATGCGTTTCTCGGAATCTGCGCCAGATGTTCCTGGTCGAATGTGTCTGACGTACGCTGTAACTCCATATGCACGGGCAATGTCTTGCTGCTCGTCAACGTTGACCTTGGTGAAGGTAATCCGGTTCGGGCGCGAAAGCTGTTTGGCCAGCTGCTCGTACGCGGGGGCGATAGCTTTGCATGGTCCGCACCAGTCTGCATAAACTTTGATAAATAGTCAGTAGCTGTTGGTAGCACAGGGATGAGTAGGCTTAAGAGCTCGCGGTCGCGAGCAACCAGACGAGTAGCGGGGGCGGGGAATCAGGAAACAGGGAGCTTACAGTCTGCGACGACGAACTTGGAAGTGGATAGAAGCGTGGAAAATTGCTCCTTCGAGGAGATGTGAACAGGTGCCGACATTATGGCGGCGGATTCTGAGAGCTATGAAGGTGAATGGAGGAAGGATGAAGTTGACGGTGGGAAAGAGGGATATGGTGGTTTTCTGTTTCGGACAAAATATGTCATCAGCTGAGCCCCTCCACAACATCGCCGACAGAACCAGCAATGCTTGTAGTCCAGGAATGCATGACATTAGTCCAGAGCTTGTCAGCGTTTAACTCTAGATGGCAGTATTGTGCCTGATTGATCGATGACCCTGATTGAACCTGTTATTTTAACGACTGCTTATAGTCACTGCCATGCTAAATATATATATAAAAATTCCTCGAATTCATGCTGGTATCAACTCATAAGCTCATGAAACTCATGGAGCAACTCCATCCTTCATTCCATAAGAACGTCGCATAAACGCATACAGATTTATATGAGCGCCCTACATGTAGTAGCAATTCGTTAAGACACCGTCCAACGCAGGGACAGAGGCCGACTATCCCGTACTGGCACAGACTGCTCTGTACAGGAGCCACCAGGTCTCTATATCCAGCAAGCTCTCTGAGCGACGCGAGAGTCGTGATGCGTACACGGCTGCTCCTGACAAGCCCTGGATCGAGCCGACGACTCTGGACGAGACATCATCGATCATGCCTCTCAATCCTCTGCAGCAAGGCTTATCCCATCCAGAGACAAGCCAGCGAGTATCTAGCCTCGATCCAATGCCAGGGCATAGACAGGCCATATAGCCAATCCCAATTCCGATTCCAAACTCCAAGCCATCCAAGCTCAACCATCCCCCTCTTCCATCGCAAACAGAATCTTCATCCAGAGACTACACCCCCGGCACCCGATAACAACCTCCCCATGCTCAGCCTCCTTCTCCAAATCCATCTCAGTGACCATGAACCCCCTCTCATCTCCACACCGACACCCCGATACCAGCACAGTAGGCCCTGCCCCTCCCCGTCGCCTGTCTCCTCACAGACAAGATCCTCCAAATCAACTACCTCAAGACCCGTATGAAATGCCGCCCCCGCGCCCTTCTCCCCCTTCCCCGCTGTCACCCGCTCAAGCTGGAGGACACGGTCATACTCCGCGCGCAGCGCAGGGTCAGAAAGCGTCTTATAAGCTGCTGTGATCTCGTCGATAGTGAATGTCGGAGAGGCGTCAGCGTTGCGGTCGGGACTCGGGCGCTGGGCGGTTTTCGTATCGTGCGTGGGTGCGGGTGTGGCTGCGATCGACGTTGCTTTATCCGGGTGGTGTTTCAGGAGAGCTTTGTGATATGCGACTTTGAGTTGTTGTTTGGATAAGGCTGTTGGGGAGCTGTGAATGGGAGGCTGAGGATTTCGTAGTAATCGTGTCTCGGGGTCTGGGATTTGGTCATCCTGTGGGCGGTAGTCTGGGAGGTGGTGGCAGTCGATTGAGAAGGGAAGAGGCTTGTTTATTCGAGGGGAACCCGTTACTCTGGCATGAGTGTTCCTTAATCGTAGAATGGAGTGAAAAAAAGCGAGTGGGATGAAGCCTGCGCGGATGCTGAATCGGACCAAAAAATGCGATGTCGGGTTACCGCCACCATCGACTTGAAGCAGTTCCGCTGTATTTGACCGTCGAAATGAAGTCATGCAACGTGAACATCTTACATTGAAATGCAGGCTACGCGCTTCGGTCTTCAGGCAAAATTCAGAATATGCAACAGAATCCAAATCTTGTTGGTATTGTTAATGCTGGAATATGGCTATTTGGCACAAGTACAGTTTATAACCCCAATTTATGACATGCTCCAACTCGTCGCCCAACGTTCTCAGAGTAAATCAAGCGTCACACAATGACATAGCCATCAGAAAGCGACAAATCACATGTCGGATATCAAGATACAACAAACCAGAAATGCAATGAAAAAGAAAAGTGATCGAAGTCAACAGTGAAATTCCTTACTCAGAGGTCTTGAAGACGTAGCGGTCCTCGGCCTTGCTGGTAAAGGGAACACCAAGCTCGAGGAGCTTGACGAAAGCGTCCGAGAAATCCTTGAAGAAGGCATCGTTGTCCCTGGCATAGCGCTCGACGTGCTTCTTGAACTCCTTGTCCTTGACCAGGGCGAGATCGGCGGGAAGCATCATCAGGGTCTTGGTGGTCTTGTCGGTGAACTGGGCGGGGCCGTTCCACTTCCGGTTCTGCCACTTCTCATCAACAAGCAGGCGGAAGAACTCGTTGGTGAAAACGGTGGGGCTGAAGTCCCAGGGGCCGTCGTAGCCAGAACGGTCGGGGTGAGCACGGCCCAGGGCGTGGGCACCGATCAGAGCAACAATCTCCTGGTCGTTGAAACCCATGCGGTAGAAGATGTCGCGGATGTGCCCCTGGTCCTTGGAAGCATCGGGGAGACGTCCGTCAGGGGTGCAGCCAGCTACGTCCTTGTCCTGACGGCCAGGGCGCCAGGGAATGGCGGGACCACCCAGTTCCTGGATGGCGCAGGCGCCGGCCATAGTCCAGAGATCGGAGTAGGTAATCCAAGGGAACTGGGCCTTGATGGGCTCGAGGAAGTCCCGAGCAATCTTGAGACCAGCGTTGGCACCGTGGTCGGACTCGGGGCGAATCTCATGGTAGCGCCGTTGCTTCCTCCAGTGCCGGTCTCCTTGTCATAGGTACCACTTGCATGCCATGCCAGACGGACGAGAACCTATCAAAACACCAGAAGTCAGCACTCCATTCATCACCTATGTATTTCATTGACAAGCGGAAAAAGACTTACTGGTCCATAGCTGCCATCGTCATAGTCGGTCTCATCGGCAAGACGGCGAGCAATGGCATCGTACACCTTCTGGTAGTCCTCCTTGCTGGGAACAAAGGTCTTGGAGGTAACGGAGTCGCTGCCGTTCAGGTAGAAGTATGCACCGGCACCACCAGCCACGGCGAGACCAGCCCAGAGGAAGACGTTGGACGAGGACTTGCCGGAGTTGGCTTCGGAGGCATAGCCACGACGAGCAGCGGCGCGGAAGCCCTGAGATGGGAGACCAAAGCGAGCGGCGCGGACAGCAGGGCGGAAGGAGGAGGTAACAGGAGTGGAGCGTAAGAAGGCGCGCGAAGCAGATCTAGCAGCCGAAGCCATTGTGAAGTAGAGGACGCGACGGAAAGGAATGTGTAGAGATAAATAAGCTTTCGATTGATTGCGGAGGAAGGACAGAAAGAGCGATAGATACTTTCTAATATACAAAAAGTCAATTGAAGAAACAGAGTGAATCTGACAAAGGGAGAGGGAAGGATAAGAAGGATAAGGAGGAGGGCAGGGATAACTGGCTACTAATAAAGTGCTCTTCTCATTGCATAAGAGGTATCCCCTCATCCTCCTCCCTAGACTACAGAAACGCCGAAGCCCATCGAAGCCCCAGGAGGAGCCGTAAGCACCAATCATGATGCACAGATTTGTGAGCTCTGGACCCGATTCTTTTGACTCAGCAGATATTCTCTCCGCATTTTCCCAGAGGTTCTGCTTTTCGTTGGCATAAGGCAGATGGATAGACCGAGCATAAGAGGGGATATGGATCATGAATGGCCGTGGCAATAGGCCGATCCATGGCTCCCGATGTTCATTTGCCTCCTGCACCTGAGATACTACTACTGATCAATCCCTTTCGAAAGATTTACTGTTGCTTGCGTTGATACCATTATCCTTTTGTCAGAACAAAGATCGAGTTCGTTAACAATCGGTTGTACTAGCAACGATGATAACCGAAGATGGCTCCTCGGGCGGATCCTAGCACCGTCATAACATTATTAACAGGAACACGCTCTTTGGCAGAGAGTCTCATGAGTCTCAGTAACCGCGGCAGATTCCGATCTCCACTCTCCACTCTCCACTCTCCCTCTCAGGTCCATTCTTCATTGGTGTCCCTGTTCTGCTTGCTCAATAGTATCTCACACATCCTGAGTTCGAGACTCGCTGCGATTTATCATCAACCCAAGCAGAGATTGCACAGGTCACAAAAAATCTTCATCACATCGACTCGGGTGTGCTGATTATCAAGAATCTTAGAAATCGGTTATGATAGACGAATGATACTAAGGTAGGTACCATACTAGAAACCAGTTGATGAAGGCAACGGACTGATGGTTTCGACATCATCCGCCCCCTCGACTCTGCTATTCCGCACATCTTGCGTCGGCAAGACCTCCTATAGATCAATGCAACCGGAAGTAGATAAGCTGTTGCATTGTATTGCTGCCTTCATGAGCACATAGCCTAGAGGTTCTGCTTGGAGACAGAAAATGCTCCCAAGGACCTCTCTACAGGACGTTCATGGAGGGAACAATATCGTTCGCATTGATATATTCTCATTATGAAATAACAAAAGGTAGGATGTCCGTCGTAAAAAAGTCCTGCCGTTCGAGAAAGACGAACACCAGGGTGGAGTAGACGCAGCTCTGCTAAAAACTGTTTGGTTTTGATCTTCCACTGAACGAACAAAATAAAAAGCATACGACTTGGCCATTGAGAGACTAGACGCGTGCTGTGTGGTTATAACAACATTGGTACAGAGTATAGAGAAGACGACATCGAGACTTGCGTTGAGACTACAGGTAATAGCTCATACATCAATGAGCGTGTCGCAGTTCACAGAATGCGAATTGTCCCTTGATGAGTGTTTTGTTGAAGAGAAGAAGAAGAGGGTCTTTGCGAAAGAAGAAATATGAAAAATCTTCGACAATGGAGGTCACCTGACTTAGCGTATGCTAGTGCTATGCCCACATACCACGTGACGCACTTCCAGCGTTCCCCTTTATATTCTTCATCCTCCACACAACAATTTTCTTCCTTTTCTTCTTTTTTTCCTCATTACACTTTTCATGAAACTACGAACGCATAATCAACCTCCAAATCCTACTTTTTCCTACAGGTTGGTAGGTCATATTGGCGTACTAGAATAAATATTTCGGGGCATAATAAGGCTCCTCTACCGTGCTGGAGTTTCTTCTGAGACTCTGAGTGCGATGGTGGGGTGAGTCACCTGCTGCTCATACATTCTATCATAACCATCATGGTGTGATATTCGTAGTGCGAAGCGTAGTTTTTCCTCTGAAGGTGCATCAAGATGATGCATGTTGAGCTTAGCTTGAGTTCTTTTGCAAAAGCTGAAGGTCCAACTTCGCTTGAGACGGTCCATATCGCCGGCCAGAGGCATGTGGTATCTATCCATGGCTGTTGCGACTGTCTTGACAGCCGTACAAACAGTGGACATTGGGCTGAAATAATTGGACGAAATTGAGAATTGAATTAAGAGACTGTCACAGACCTTTTCTGTGCTTGGCAGACAAATAGTCAAGACTCGAAAGTTGGTTCAAGTCGGTTGCCCCTGGCGTGGTTTTGACTAGGGGATCCATACCAGAGGCTGGAATGTGCAGTCCTCCACGAGACAGTTTCGATTGTGCCCAACAATCAACGGTAAAAAACGCCATTGTCCCTTTAATTATAGCTCCAGAAACATCAGTATATTGATATCAAATCCATAAGTTCAAAGCGATGTCTATCTAATACACCGAGAGCAGAGAAATCGATACGGTGACTGTCGTCTGTCTTCCCCACACCACCACCATCTTATCATCCCTGACCACTTTCGCTTTCTCTCTTACTTCTCCTGGACTATCTAGCTTCTGCCATTCATCCCCCTCCTCCTTAACATCTCTTCTTGACGGTCTCGGCACTCTCTTTGCTTGTATTCTTAGAATCCATCGCGTTGAGCCTTCCATTCATATCGTGTAAATATGCTTTGTCTTTCTATTTGAGATCCCACTATCTCCCGCATACGGAAGATCGGCCCGGCCTCTGCCACTTTTTCTCCATCGTTCGTGAATAGCTTCTGTCTGTTCCCAACCTAGTTCACCTCTTCCTTGGACGTTTGATACCCTTGGCTTCTGTTAGTCGCTCTTCATCAACAAAGAGACAGCCAGGTGCTCTCTCCGGATTTTACCAAGATGCCCAGCATTGTCAGTAAGCGGCAGCAGCAACGGAATGAGAAAGCCTTGCAGGACCTCATCCGCTCAGTGCCGGGCAATGATCGATGTGCAGACTGTGGAGCCTTCAACCCAGGTATGCTCTTGGAGACCTGTATATAATTCAAGCCAATCGCTGACAAGCCACTTGCTCACAGGATGGGCCAGCTGGAATGTACGTATACCACGGTTGCACACGACTCTACCGCCACGACGTGATAACTGATCCGATGGAATACAGATGGGAATATTCTTATGTATGCGGTGCGCAGCTCTGCATCGTAAGCTGGGCACACACATTTCCAAGGTCAAGTCCTTGACGATGGACACTTGGACGGCCGAACAAGTTGATGTGAGTGGTCCGTTCAACAATGTGAGGAGGCGTGAGCTGATTGTCTATGGAACGCAGAACATGAAATCACACGGAAATACCCTCATGAACAAGATCTTCAATCCCAAGAATGTCAAACCTCCGGTCCCCAAAGATATCGACGAGGCCGATTCGAGCATGGAGCGGTACATCCGACAGAAGTACCAGTATCGTTCTCTAGAGGACGGAAAACCGAAGCCACCAAGTCGTCATGATTCCAGTTACGACATGTCACCGGAGGGCTCACCTCCTCCACTACCTCCAAAGTCTGGCCGGTTTCCGGGCCCTGGGTTGCGGTCCGCTTCCTCCACCTCGAACCTCCAGCGGTATTCCAACAGACCCTTTGCGACCTCACCTCGATCCGAAAGACATGATTCCCCTCCACCCCGAAGCGTCTCCACTTCCGGCTCTCAAGGGTTTGGACTTTCCGTCCGTGATACAAGTGATGCATCGTTTGAATCGAAGCTGGCCCAGCTGAGAGATATGGGGTTCACCAACGAGCGCCGAAACGCAGCGGCCCTAAAAGGTCTTGACGGTAACTTGAAGATGACCATCGAGACTTTGCAGAGGTTGGGGGAAGGGCCTGCATCGCTGGGACAGCCTTCGGCATCTGGCAATTCAGCAAACAATTCTACTAGAGGGGACAGTTCAGCCAATCCGTTCGACCAGCTCGACTCCAAACCGTCTCCCCCGACGAGCAGCGCGTACAATCCGTTTGATATGCCAACACCGCAAGCACAACAGCAACTCGCACCTGCACCCGCGGCTGTGCAGTCTCTCCAGGGGTCTTTCCAGCATTTACAAGTTTCGCAGCCGTTGTTCCCGCATCAAACCGGAGGATATCCTGGTCGTCAAGCCTCGCTTCCTCAGCCCCTTTACCAGCACCCTCTTACCCCTCCTGTCACCTCGACCCAATCACAAGGCACATACATCTCATCCCCACAAGCGTTCGACGGAAGCCAAAACCCATTTTTCCAGTCGAGCGCCCAGCCGCAAGCGTCCTTCAGTAGCACACCGCTCACCCCGAGCCCTGGCGTTGCTCAGACAAACCCCTTCTTCAGCCAGTTCGGACCGGCGGCGGCCTCAATGCAATCACAAGCCCAACAGGTCTCTGGAGGTGCACTGCCTAATCCGCCCCAGCATGCGAACACCATGCCAGCATTGTCCTCCTCATCGCCCTTTAGCCAGGGTTCTTACCAACAGCAGCAGCAGCCGCCGCAGCAACAACAACAACAATTCATGCAGAATCAACCACAGTTGCAGGGGCAGGGCTTTGCCTCCCAGAATCCATTTCAATCGATGGCAGCCCCAAATGCACCACAGAACGCGGTCTATCAATCCCAGTATCAGTCACAACTACAGGGCGGGCTGCAGCAGCCCACTCAGTACATGGCTCCCCAGCCCACCGGCCGCGTGGACAAGGGCAGCATCCTTTCTCTGTACAATACATCCTCCGCGCCGACATCCGGGATGCAGCAGCCCCCTCAAATGCAAGCTCCAATGGGAATGTCGCTGAACCAAGCGCCCCAAAACCAGCCAATGCCAAGTATCAGCGAGCACCAGAACAACGGCTCACAGGCTTCCGCTGCCCCCCAGTTAGCCGGGTCTCGGAATCCTTTCATGGGTGGACAAGGCGCCCCCGGTGCTGGGATGGACCTGACACCAAAAGCTTCTCAACTGAATGGCAATTTCCCAAAAGCCCACATGAGCCAGCAGAGTGTAGATATCAATGGCTTCCAGAGCGGACGGCACAGCCCCGACGCCTTTGCCAATCTGAGCGCCCGTTACCGGTAGCACTTCCGCCCCATCAGTCCTGTCTACTGAAGGTGCTCTGAAAATATTTTCTTCTGTGTATATTCATCTACTGTATCTGACCTTGGCGAATGAGATGGTGAGCAATTGGTTGCATCATTGGCTGGCGTTTGTGATTTTGGCATTAGAATGAAGAAGCGGGCGGGCCTTGTTGAGCTCGGTGTATGCTACATTACAGCTGGATATATCAGCTAGAGTATATAGTACAATTCAGGAACAATTGGGTAGCACCTGTCAAGGACGAGATCATCAAAAAGGGACAATTGGTATAGATTGGATCCAAGTGTTGATATGTTCCATTGGTATTACAGGGACAGTACATAAATAGGACAGAAATCAAGGAGGTATCACATGCACATATTTCCAACAAGGCTTACCAATTGCCAAAATACAACTCATTACGACCACAGATCCCGCTCAAGGAGCTTAGTAGTCTTCTTCTTCTGCCTCCAATCCCTGAACCAGTCCCCTCCCCAAGCCGTCCATGACGATCGTGTCCTTGTCCACTGCGGAATCTGGACACCTAACCAGGATGTCCGCTTCCGCTGGCCCCACGGCCAGCGCCACGACGACGGCCACGACAGAGACAACGAGGACGGTGCGACAGAAGAAGAAGAAGACGAGAACCACCGCCGGAACGGAGAGAGCTTGCCATCGCGCTTCCCGCTCGCTTCTTTCCGGAAACTCTCGATGATCCGGTCGAATTGTCGATCGCGGTTCTCGAGGTCGCGTTGGCGGGTGGCGGATCGCCAGGCCTGTTGTTCGGCGGGGTCAAGGCACCAGACTACGATGTCGCCTTTGCGGCGCCGGTCGTCGTGCCAGGCTGTGTTGAAGGTGCGGTAGCATTCGGCGTAGGAGCTGGCGCGGAGGAGGGATTGGAGGGTTGGTTCGAGCTGCGCGAAGAAGATGAGGTAGTCGGGCCATTCGTGGGTGGTGTGGTTGGTGTTTGAATTCGGTCGCTGGGGGTGTGGTTGTTGCACGGAGAGGTAGGATGGTCTGCGAGAGATGTGGCGCAGGCCGCCGGCCATGTGGTCGCGGAGGAACTGGGCGGGGTTGGCGTAGAATTGGTCCGCTTCGTCCATGTAGGTGGCCTTTTGGGCGGCGGTTTGGTCGACGGGGGGCTCGCAGGTTAGAGCCCAGGCGTGGATTGTGGGGTAGACGAGGTGGGAGCGCCAGGGGGTGCTGTGGCAGGGCATGAGGAAGCCGGCTGTGATTCCGTGCTGAGAGGGGTCTTTGACTGCGGTACTGAGTTTTGAGGGTGTTTGGGCGGCCGGAGCGTGTAGCTCGTGCTGTTGCCGGAGGTATGAAAGGACGTTGGACGGTCCGGATGCGTGGTAGATGGTCGTGTAGAGCGCAATGCTGATATTGACCAGCAATACGAAGACGAGGGTGAGCCTCCTGGGCATATATGATCGGGACGAGCGGAGGATTGCAGGCAGGAAGTAGTCCACCAGAGGTGGTGCACTTAGGATGTGGAGAGATGGTAGAAGCGGATAGATGAATCGCACTTCCTTGTGAGAGATCAGGGACAGAACAAAAGGCATGGCCACGCATATCAGCGCAAGCTGAGCTTGCACGAGAGACTGCAAGTGCCCCAATCCGGACGTCCGCACCTGGGCCAGAGCGCGGTACAGGCCAACGAGAGCGAACGGCAGTGCGGTGGTAAGTAGAAGGGGAAACCCCTGCGAGATATAATAATGCCAGTCATTTCTACCGTAGAAGACCGCTAGAGACTGTGCAATGTTGAAATACAGGAATCGCAAGGGAGGAAACGTCCAACTTCCATAGAAGAGCCGATCGACCACGGACGATAAACCCAGAATGGCACAGCTATGAGCTCATCAGCCGTCCGTTTTGCAAACGTGCCTGGCAATATCAACTCACCCGCAAAGCAATACTTCGCGCACGAGAATTCTCCTCCTGTCCCAGGAAGTACGAAACCATGCGATACTGGCCAAACTCATCCAGATGAGGACGTTTGTCGGTCGTAGAATACAGGCGACAGCCGCTAGGGACAGGCATCGACGTAGCCTACGTTGCCGCGTGAGATATATATAGATCCAATGGACGTCCACCATACCTCTGTAGCGAGTCTGACACCTCTTGACCCCTCTGAGCACGCTCCCTGCTGGCCGCGCGAGTAGCCTTCTTGGGTTCAGGTGTCATAAATGACCAACTCCAGGGCCATGAGTAGAGAGCGACAATGGTAATCGTCATTTCGAGGCAATTAGACAATGTCCTGGTGGAGCAAAACCATTGCCATGGGCTAACGACAGTCAAGGCAAGCTTCGACAGTCAACCTCGGTCCTCGTATCGATTATTTAGGCAAACAATGAAATGGAAACATACAGTAGCCCAGGCCTCGTAACTTCGAGCGCCATAGATATAGCGAGCCAACTTCCAAGTATAAAAGTCCCCGAGCCCCGCGATTACCGCCTGCGCAGTTTTAGGAGCGGCGACGAGGAGATCCGCACGCGATGCGGGGGAGAGGCGGAGAAGCTGGGCGACGACATCGGCGGCGGAGTAGACAGCGGCGAAGAGGAGAGGATGGATGGAAGACCTCAGTTGATGCCTCCATTCCTATATTGGTGACATCCAGTATCCAGAAATTAGTAACTGAAATGATGTGACTGCTTGGAACAATATCGAATGCGACGCAAGGGCTGCACAGGATAATATTGGGGGATGCGACTCCACTAACCCAGGTTATCCAAGCCCCTTGATTTTCACCAAACGCGATTTGCCAGGCAGGCTCAAGGGACTGAAAAAATTCATCGGGTTGGAAAAAGGTGCGAACGGTAAATGCGTTGACCAGCCGAAAAGCGATTAAGAACAGAAGGATATTGGTTGCCAACGGCGTTGTTGATGACGGTGATGCTTTGGTATTCCTTGAGGGAGGAGACCGCGGCCTGAGGCGCGAAGTCGGCAGTAAAGAGTGAAAGGACGGAGACGACGAAGAGGACGACGACGTGAAGGGCTTCCTTCGACGCGACGTAGACATGGTCGCAGGCAAATGTCACAGGGCGTATCTAACCCCGCGATGTCCTCCGATGCCAGCAAGAGTGTAACAAAATCAATAAACTACCGAATAGAGAGGCCAAGAGGACAAAGTGTCCGGGCCGGCAAAAAGCGATGGGATCCGCCCCGGTCATGCAGTGGAGGGCGCGGAAACGATGAGTAATGGACCGGACGACAGTGGACAAATGGACGAACCGGAAGCCCCAGATCGGCCAGGCGAAGAAGGAATAAAGTCAGGTGGAAAGCAAGCTGACTGGATGACTGGAGGAAAGGTGGATCGCCGACATCATGGTCGCTGGGGATAGCGCGTAGACCTGCACTTAGCGATATACAGCGGGTAAACCTGCACTTAGGGGTCTAGTCCTCCTTCGGTGCCCATGTCTCCTCGCCTCAACAAGGTGACACCAGCGGGTCTCAAAACGCTGCGGATTGGTATGGCGATTTCTACCAATTTGCTCTTCTGCCGTTTTTCCTTCTTTTCTTACGGTGCTCAATTCTAACAGGTATTTCCCATCCTCGTGCTATTAAAGGACGGTGACTTGCTCGTCTCGGACTGTTCAGCGGACATTTCCTCTCCCACCTTATCCTCCCTCTACTACCCTCCTCAGTCCTCACTATAGCTTCGAATCTTCTTACTTCATATTATCCTTGATCAATCACAATCTCTTTCAAGCCCACCTTGTCTCTTCTTTCCGCCAGCATGTCTGCCAACGGAACCAGTTCTTACCATGCGTCCTCCACGCAGGAGGCCATCCAGGCGGAGAAGGAGTTCGCAGCCCACAACTACCACCCTCTCCCTGTTGTCTTCGCTCGTGCTCAGGGCACCTCCGTTTGGGATCCTGAGGGCCGCCACTACCTCGACTTCCTGTCGGCGTACTCTGCCGTCAACCAAGGCCATTGCCATCCCAAGTTGGTGGCTGCACTTGTCGACCAAGCCTCGCGATTGACCTTGAGTTCCCGGGCCTTCTACAATGACGTATTCCCCCGTTTTGCCGAATTCGTCACCAAGTACTTCGGTTTCGACATGGTTCTGCCCATGAACACAGGAGCGGAAGCCGTGGAAACGGGAATCAAGATTGCTCGCAAGTGGGGCTATAAGGTTAAGGGCATTCCGGAGAACCAAGCCGTTGTTCTGAGCGCGGAGAATAACTTTCACGGACGTACTGTAAGTGCACGCGAGAATCAATTGATTCGCTCATTATAGATTGACCGGCCTTCTTCTTCTAGTTCGCCGCCATTTCCCTGTCTTGCGATCCCGAGTCGCGCGAAAACTACGGTCCGTATCTGCCAGGTATCGGATGCACAATCCCTGGAACCGATAAGCCCCTCAAGTACAATGACAAGGCAGCCCTGCGGGAGGCCTTTGAGAACGCGGGACCCAACCTTGCCGCTTTCCTGATAGAGCCTATTCAGGGCGAAGCAGGCATTGTCGTTCCCGACGATGACTATCTGCGGGAGGCGAGAGCTCTGTGTGATAAGCACAATGTCCTGCTCATCTGTGATGAGATTCAGACGGGTATTGCCCGTACAGGCAAACTGCTCTGCCATGAGTGGAGCGGAATCAAGCCCGACCTGGTTCTGCTGGGCAAGGCTATTTCCGGTGGCATGTACCCCGTCTCTTGTGTCTTGGGTCGCAAAGACGTCATGCTCACCATTGAGCCTGGCACCCACGGTTCCACCTACGGCGGTAACCCTCTAGCCTGTGCTGTGGCTATCCGAGCCTTGGAGGTCGTTCAGGAGGAACACATGGTTGAAAGAGCCGAGGAACTCGGTCACGTCCTTCGCAAGGGCCTGGAGGCTATCCGGAGCCCAATTATCCAAACCGTTCGTGGCAAGGGATTACTCAATGCGATCGTCATTGACGAGTCCAAGACCAATGGACACACTGCTTGGGATCTCTGTATGTTGATGAAGGAGAAGGGCTTGTTGGCCAAGCCAACCCATCAGAACATCATTCGCCTTGCTCCTCCTCTTGTGATCACTGAAGAAGAGATCCAGAAGGCACTGGAGATCATCGCAGAGGCTGTTTCTGAGCTCCCAAACCTCAAGGGTGAGGCAGAGGACAAGGTCATCCCAGGCCCAGAGAAGAATGTCAAGATGAGCCTTGACAATTAAGGAGAGTTTGGCAAAGTCTTTCGAGTTCCTTGGAAGTAAGGGACACCCACCGCACAACGCATTAAGCGATTGACCACGGGCTTCTAGTCCTTCGTCCGCTATGCAAGTGTGAACGCAACCCGACCAGAGACGGTAATGTCTGCTGGCCGCTGGAAGTGGAGGAATGAGACACTGTCACGCTCAAGGCGACGAAAGTACTCATTCGACACTCGATGGTTTGCTTATTTCCCATAAGGATGGGACAACAACTTGATGCCAGTTATGAATGAACTAGTCTATGTTTGATAGTGAGGCTCGGCTTTATTTTAGATGCAATCATTTTTTAGCGTCTTTCATGTTACTTCTCAAGATTCACGTAAGGAAGCAAACAAAAAGCTAAGTACTCCGTAGGGCAAATGCCATGAGATAGACCATATGTCTACGCGTTCTCGTTCCCCTCTTCTTCAACGCATCTTTTTCCTCGCTGCTCCCTTTTGTATAAATGAAACCATTTTATAGTCAACTACAAAGTATCTATATCTCGACACTTTCGAGAAAGAACTCAGATCATCCTAACCTGGAAAAGCTTAGCGCCTTGTCGGCGCCCGATTGACCGATCATTAGTGTTAAATGATTATGACACTGTTACGAATACGAGGCCAGTCGGCAACACGGAGACAACAAGCTCCTCCCCGCATCAAGAAAAAGGGCATTCCAAGATACGGGCCTGTGGCTGTTGGCTGTTGCTTAACAACCAGCTGGTGGAATCATGAGGAAGAAATTTATCACCTCGGAATTAATAATGGTTATCTCCTTCCAATCTACGCATTTCTGACCCGTCGGGTATAGTTTGCCAGGTTATTATCACGCTTTTTTTACTACAAAATGCGTTATTCCCCGGCCATGATCTTGCAATGATTTAATCCAGACAATAAAGCGTGAACAAGGGAGAATCCATATAATATCCAGTGAGTCTCAAGTGGATGATCCGCGACGTCCCTTGCATACTCTCATTCTCAATACCAGTCGATTGTACAACTCCCGGTCTCTCTTTCATTAATAGCTCCGCGAGGACTGGTGAATTCTCTGTATTGAGCCAGTCAGATTGTCACAATTTTCGGCAATTCATCGTTTAATCCTGCAAATGACTGTTGCACAACCATATCTCTGTCGGAAATTTAGCACACGATTCGTTGGATATTGTCTTTGATGTATCTCCACTGCTCAATTCGTTTCCGCATGATGATGACTTGTGGGCGGTTACTAACCTGCGGCAGGATTCAGCCCAGACAGTGTCTGAAGCTGTAGATCGGCGCCATACACATACACAAGGCATGCGATCGCCAAAATCGCGCCACGCCAATCCTTAGTTACCTTCATCTGGAACTCAGCTTGAGAGGCTAGATCAACGGGCTCAGCCAATAATACTGAGTCTCCTGGTTTGGTGAAGAAGTAAGCATTACTTTTCGCATTTAAATTCCAGCTCTGATCGGCTGTCAACGCCGTACTTGAACGATACGATAACCGGGTGCCATCGGCATCATGCTCATACAGAACACAATTGTAATGGCTCACTAACTTGACGAACTTCGCAGAACTTTGGGTAGCAGAGAGATACGAAGCTTGGTGCTTCTTATCATCTACGCTGGGGACGCTCTACACACGGACTACGCGGGCTTTCGATACATAATGGTGTCGGAAATTTAACGTCATTTCAGGCTGATTCATCAACAAAACGAGATGAGCAAGACTCCACAACCTCCATTGGAGGTGGTAGCGCCTCAGGCGAAACTACCGGTTGAACAGAATCAGACAGAGGGCACGAATGATCAAGTTGCTTCTCCACAACCACAGCTGTCCAGATGGCGCAAGCTGAACCCTCTGCGACTGCAAAAGATACCTCCTGTTCCCAGTGAGAGACAAGTGACTCGGGAATATGGGGCGAATATTCTTAGTCGCATCTTCTTTGAGTGGATGACCCCTTTTATGCAGGTCAGTCTAGAAATCTTGAAACCCAGAAAAGTCAGAATGTTTACAAAATCGTATAGGTGGGTTATCTCCGACCATTGGAACCCAAGGATATATGGACCGTCAACCCGGATAGAGCAGTAGATACCTTGTCGGACAAGCTTGCTGTGGCTTTTAGGAAGCGAGTTGAGCAAGGGAGCAAGAGACCTCTGGCGCGGGCTCTTATCGACACCCTAAGACATGACCTTGTGGTTGGTGGTATATGCCAGCTTATTGGCATGATGTGCATGATTCTATCACCATACGTGGTTAGGCATCTTATCACTTTCTCGACCGAAGCATACGCAGCCCATATTCGCGGAATACCTGGGCCACACATTGGACCAGGCTTGGGTTACGCCTTTGGCCTTTATGCCATGCAAGTGCTGCAGAGTTTGACTATGAACCAGGCATTATATCGAGGGATGGTTGTCGGAGGAATGGCCAAAGCGGGCCTTACATCTCAAATCTTCGCCAAAGCGATGAGGCTGTCGAACCGTGCGAGAGCTGGCGGGAAGCAGACCGATGACGCGGGACAGAAACCCACCGAAGGAAGTCCATCTAAAGCGGCAAACGATGCGGCGAAAGAGACTTCCGGCTGGAGTAATGGACGTATCACGACGTTGTTGGGCGTGGATGTGGATCGTATCGATACAGCTTCCGGCATGCTTCATATGCTTTGGGTTTCACCCATCGGTCTTATCGTCGCTCTGATCATACTGATTGTCAACATCGGCTACAGTGCACTTGCCGGGTACGCCCTCCTAGTTGTCGGAGTATTTGCTTTGGCATGGGCAATGCGCCTTCTGGTGCAATTTCGGAGGGCCATCAATAAAATCACCGATCAGCGAGTCACTTTGACCCGAGAAATATTGTATAGCGTGAGGTTCGTGAAGTTCTTTGGCTGGGAAAGCAGCTTCCTAAAGCGACTCGAGGACGTTCGCAATCGCGAGATCGGCTCCATCAAACGACTCTTGTTTGTCCGACACGCTGTTGTGGTGTGCATGGTTTCTTTACCTACATTCGCATCGCTGCTGTCCTTTGTCACATACGCTCTGTCGGATCATGGCATGTCCCCGGATCGCATTTTTGCGTCCTTGGCATTGTTCAATGTGCTTCGTATGCCACTCATCATGCTCAACCTCACTATTACACAGATGACCGATGCCTGGACTGCTATGAACCGAATCCAGGAGTTCCTTCGGGCCGAGGAAAAATCGGACCCGGTCGAATGGGACACGACCATGGACAAGGCTATTGAGGTCGAACATGCATCATTCACCTGGGAACAAGTGCAGAGCAACAAGGGAGAGGAGAAGAAGGAAGAGAAGCCGAAGGGTAGCCAGGTCTCACCGAAAGACGCAACGCCCAGCAGCCCGCCCAACGACAACAGTGATACAACTGAGCCTGCGCCGTTCAAGCTCACCGATGTCAACTTCAAAGTGGGAAGGGATGAACTTCTTGCTGTAATAGGAACAGTTGGCAGTGGCAAAAGCTCGTTGCTCGGGGCTTTGGCGGGTGATATGCGCCTGACGGAGGGTAAAATCCGAATGGGTGCGACTCGATCGTTCTGCCCGCAATACGCCTGGATCCAGAATGTGTCAGTGCGAGAGAATATCCTCTTTGGAAGTGATTACGACGAAGACTTCTACGACCGCGTAATTGACGCATGCGCTCTACGAGCCGATCTAGATATTTTCCCAAACGGGGATCAGACGGAGATTGGGGAACGAGGCATCACGGTCTCTGGAGGCCAAAAGCAGCGAATCAATATCGCCAGAGCGGTCTACTCCAAAGCAAATATCGTCCTCATGGATGACCCTCTTTCAGCCGTTGATGCCCATGTCGGACGCCATATCATGGACAAAGCAATTTGCGGTCTGCTCAAGGATAAATGCCGTGTCTTGGCAACCCATCAGCTCCATGTCCTTAGCCGGTGTGACCGAATTATTGTGATGAAAGACGGCCGTATCGACGCTATTGGTACCTTTGACGATCTTGTACGAACAAATGAACACTTTAGGGAATTGATGTCAAGCACTTCGCAACAAGAAAAGCAGTCGGATGATGATGTCGACGAAAAGTCTGACGAAGCCGAACCAGCGAAAGACCAGATTGACAAGGCTAAACCAGCAGCCGCGTTGATGTCAAAGGAAGAGGTAGCGGCGGGTCGGTTGGGTGGCCCGTTTGGAAAGCTTATATCACCGCCTCCGGATCTTTCTTCCTCAACTTCATTGCCTTTCTCGTGCTGCTGGCCTGTCTCAACGGTGGTCTAGTTATGACCGGGCTGTGGGTCTCTTATTGGACGTCTGACAAGTTTCCAAACCTGACCGCTGGCCAGTACATGGGAATATATGCGGCAATCTGCGCAGCACAGGCTTTGGCCCTGTACGGCTTCGCACTGCATGTAACCATTGCCGCAGCGGTCTCTAGCAAGACAATGCTGCACCGCGCAATGTACCGAGTCTTGCGAGCCCCGATGGCCTTCTTTGACACGACTCCGTTGGGACGGATCACAAACCGGTTTTCTAGGGATGTTCAGGTGATGGACAGCGAACTTGGCGAATCTATTCGCATGTTTGCCTTTACGTTCACTCAAATCCTTGCCACGATGGGGTTGATCATCGCATTTTATCATTACGTGAGTAACCATAGGGTGACGTGCATGGAATGAAATTGCTAACCACCATGCAGTTTGCTATTGCACTAGGTCCCCTGTTCGTCTTGTTCGTACTCGCAGCGGCCTACTATAGAGCTTCCGCGCGGAATCTGAAGCGGCATGATTCAGTGCTTCGCTCGACGGTGTTTTCACGTTTTGGCGAGGCCATCACCGGTGTCGCAAGCATCCAAGCGTATAAAATGGAAGGTTACTTTCAGCGGAATCTGCATGAAAGCATCGACTCAATGAATGGTGCATATTTCCTGACTTTCTCCAACCAGAGATGGCTCTCGATTCGCCTTGATGCTATCGGCAGTCTAATGATCCTGGTGGTGGGAATCCTCGTCGTCACGTCTCGTTTCAACGTCGGGCCAAGCATCTCCGGTTTGGTACTGTCGTACGTTTTGAACATCACTCTGAGTTTGCAATTCACTATTCGACAGTTCGCTGAAGTCGGGAATAATATGAATGCCGCTGAGCGGATCCATCACTATGGCACCAGCTTGGACGAGGAAGCGCCCCTTCAGTTGGCCGAGGTACCACCAAGCTGGCCCGAAAAGGGGAGGATTACGTTCTTGAACGTGCAAATGCGGTACCGTGACGGGCTGCCTCTGGTGCTCAAGGGACTCACGATGGACGTTCGAGGCGGGGAACGGATTGGCATTGTTGGGCGGACAGGTGCCGGCAAATCCAGCATCATGGCCGCGCTATTTCGTCTCACCGAGCTTTCCGGGGGAAGTATCAAGATCGATGACGTTGATATTGCCACGGTTGGGCTGCGTGATCTTCGGACTCGTCTTGCTATTATCCCGCAGGATCCGACGCTCTTCCGCGGCACGATCCGCTCGAACCTGGATCCTTTCAATGAGCATACGGATCTGGAGTTATGGGCAGCGTTACGCAAGGCACATCTCGTCGGCCAAGAGCTGCCAGAAGACGAGTCCCAGGACGGCACAATTACGCCATCATCGATGAACGAAAAGCAGCAGACGGTGCAGCGACTGCACCTTGACACCATCGTCGAAGAAGAGGGACACAACTTCTCGCTCGGCCAACGGCAGCTCATGGCTCTGGCGCGTGCTCTCGTTCGCGATGCCCGCATCATCATCTGTGACGAGGCAACCTCGTCCGTTGACTTTGAGACAGACCAGAAAGTCCAGGAGACGATGGCGCAAGGGTTTCAAGGCAAGACCCTGCTTTGCATTGCTCATCGTCTACGGACAATCATCAACTATGATCGCATCTGTGTGATGGATCAAGGGCAGATTGCCGAATTTGACACACCTCTGGCGCTGTGGGAGAAGCCGGGTGGCATCTTCCGCAGTATGTGTGATCAGAGTGGAATCACCCGGGAGGACTTTGAGGGTTGATGTGATGATTTCCGTTCGAGTATATACTTTGATGGTATCCATAGTATTATAGATGTTGTTGAACTTTGACTTGTCGACATCGTTAGATCAAAGCTCAGCAACACAATCCTTTACGTTTTCCTGAGTAACTTAGGCAGAGATTGATACTGGAGGCTGTCTGCCTGACCTTGAAGCAATTCATCATTTGCCAACCTTGATAAAGCTTCATAGAATATCATCACCGTACGGGGGATCCAGAAATCACCTCCTGTTCTCAAATACCGATCATTATATATTTTGTAGCATTTCCGGATCCGAGGTGGAACTCTATCTAGCCCTAGTTTGGCCCTCAATGCCTGGGCGTAGTTAACTTACGTAATTCTCCCTCACTTCTCCTTCCAAACAGCCTCGTGTCCTACACAGTAGACAACATAATAATCAGTTCCTTTCTCAAGTCTTCAAGTGCAATCATATTGGCCTGGCGGGATCCCAGTGACCATCCGTCTAATATGACCAGGTTACGCCCGGCTGACCTTCAAGAAGAGACCAAGGGATGGATGCAATCATAAGAGTATGAATGCAATTCATCTATCCATTAACATTAACTCACATATACACATCTATAGGAAGAATGGTGCCCAACATCTACTCTTGGGGATGACGTGCGCCAACGGCGCATTCTACTGGAGAATGGGCAGGGGCCAGTCAGGACTTTCGAGATGTCAGTGTGTAAACTGTCACCTTGCACCGGAATGAACTAACACATCACCGTCCTACCGGCTTCGCGCCCATTGCCATCCTCCGGGTTAGACTACCCAGCTTCTGCACTGGCAGAACCCCAACCAAACAAGCGATTCGTATGTCTCGCTCCAGTAGACCGCCATAAGGATCCGCACAACTACACCCGTCTCCTCAAGTTCCTGATCTTGCGGTACCTCCACCAGGACGAGGTGGAACGCTGAAATAAGCAGGTATCAGAAAGGAATGTCACTCATGTAACCAAATTGCTAATGTCTATACACGCTCTTTATATCCCGTAACTTTTGACGAAGGACCGTGAGTGCCGTCATCCGACTCTGACTATCTATCCACTATATATACCCATTTTCGGTTGCACCAGCTCAGTGTAACTACTCATCAAGTCTATACAACACCTGGACCTCTGCAACGGCTCTTTGACGGATAGATATCTCTGCGCAGCACAAGAATAAAGATCATTAGCCGCGAGAACAGGCAGTATCAAAGCTTAACCTAGCTCTGGTAAGATCACAGCACTGACCTGTGGGAACATGGTAGGTACCCAGGCCAGCCTCGAGAAGTCGGGGGTTATACTCGGTATTCATTCGTCTCAACGTCCATGGGAGCATGGCTCGAGACTGTTGTCGATCTATAAGGACCTAGGTTAACTTTCTTTCCGTCTGTTCACTCTTGTGTAAGGTAATAAAAGACTCACCTCTTAGGAACTGTCTATTGCGGTTCTTGCAATAATTCCACAGTAGAAGAAGGGATGCAGGGCCAGTAACAAGTAAAGTGACGAGTGCAATGATAGCCTCCACTGACCAGTCCATTCTTTGATCTATTGACTATTCACAGAAGACAGACAGGCTGGAGTTGTCGATTGTCAGAAAAGCCATGCTGAGAGGAAAGGAAAGAGCTTTTTATCTCTTTCTTCCTCCATAGTAAATGACGTGAAGCATTGAGTAGATGCTAATCAATCTCGAGATGAACGACCTATTGCTGGATATGGTAGACCACTAATCAAGTACAAGTGGGGAACTTTCGCATCACCCCAGTTTTTTGCACTGAGATAGGTTGATGGATCACTGAAATTCTGGCCTTGGCCAATAGCAGCTGAGGACGTCCCCGGGAATCGACTCTCAACTCCCGGTCTGACTGCATGGCAAACTAAAGTAAGTATCAGCCACAAGAGTGTATCCCCCGATTATGACTTCGAGGTCATATTCTTATGATGATTACCCGTCACATCCTTATATATGGTGTAAACATAAGAATATATATTATTTAGTATCCATATTTAATATAGTCTTATAATTTTTACTAAAAAGAACAGTAAAACAAGATCATACAGGAGAACCTTAGGTATGTATCTCTGAAGACCCACCCCTATTAAAAATTATTTCCTGGGAATTAAAAAAAATTATCATGACAATGTTACTTATGGGGATTATAGAGTATTTGGGCCTAAAAAATATTTAAGAAAATCTAAAGTAAAATTTAATCCCTTCTAAATCTACCAAGTTTAAAGTAGAACTGTACGTGCGTAGTAGATGTAGCGTAGTATCCATGGTTTCACCAGGTACAGGATGAGCTACAGGATGATGAGGGACAGGATGAGCTACAGGATGATGAGGTATAAGATGAGCGACAGAATGATGAGGGACAGGATGAGCTACAGGATGATGAGGTATAAGATGAGTGACAGAATGATGAGGGACAAGATGAGCTACAGGATGATGAGGTACAAGACAAGCGACAGAATGATGAGGGACAGGATGAGCGACAGGATGATGAGGGACAGGATGAGCTACAGGATGAGTTGAGGCTGTACTGCATGCCTAGGTCATTCCAGCTTGACCTGCCGATTTAGGCCACATTTGCACCTGTTCATTATAACGGTGCCCAATAATGTCTTTTCCTCCAATTTAGAGATCACTTGCAATAATTCCGAAGCCTCTAAAGACATCGCGTGCCCTGTGTACAATGTTGGCAAAGCAAAGCATATTTCCGGAGACCTTGAAACTGGATTTTGAGCTGCAACTGCTCTCAACCTAAAAGACCCTGTATCCAATCCGCGAAAGGCTTGCATTGTATCAGGTTTGCCCGGTCGTTGCCTAGAGATAATTTTGGCAACCCAGGTCTGTCGCGACAGACGTGAAGAGAAAAATTAAGGGGTAACGTACCTATGTGAGATACCAGAATTGCGCACTGGCGGTGTGGCTGGGTCTAAAAGAAACAATGAAAAACTTGAATGCATAACGCCCCGTGTCAGGGATCAGGTTTAGTCCGGCGCGACGTTGCCTGCTGTCATTTGTCGAGACCAGAATATACGCAGCCGCAAGCCATTATTCGGACAAGGCTGTGAGCCTCCAGGATTATAATCTGCATCTTCTGGCGGAATCCAATAGGATTCAGCGAGAAAATTCCTCCCTTTCGTATGGCGCTGTCTGCACCCCTGAAGATGGAGGGATATAAAGATATAAACGAGCCTTGGATAACACAACTTGAAAGAAAAAGAGTCATCAAACAAGCAACGGAAAAAAGAACTCATGGCTCGAACCAAGGAAGAAGAGACCGAATGGCAGAATCACCGTGACGAGCTCAAGGCCTTGTGGCTGGATCAGCGACGGACTCTAGAACAGATCCAAGAGCATATGTCCCAGAGGCGCAGTTTCCGCAAAAGGTCAGTTGGTATTGCCCCCTCGAAAGTTGTTCAGTCCTGACTGAGAGAACGTCTCAGCGCACCTCAGTATACCCGGCAGTTCAAGAAGTGGGGGTTCAAAAAGAACTTGACCGATGAGGACTGGAAATTCGTTGCGCGTCGTCGCGAGAAGCGAAAACGAGACGGAAAAGACGCGGGCGACGTCAGGGTGCACGGCACCCTCATCCCTGAACCAAAGGTCAGAAAGGAAACAGCGCGTCATGCTTCATTATTGTCGCAGTGTCTGTGGATGGGAGACTCTGGTGCGTAGCCATACATGACTGCCGTCGCTATCCTGCTTCCCACTCCTCTTGTGGATATGCTGACCTGTTCATATGACATCTCAGACCCCAAGACCCCTGAAGGGGTTGTCGTGGGTACGCCCCGATCAGAAATAGAGAGTACTGCGCTCGACGGTTCCGCAGACCTCCTTGTGATGGACTGGTGCCAGGGCCTAAGCGCTGGTGGTATCAGTCTTGGAACTTCAACAATGCTGCAATCCACCGAACGCGACCCTCTCGCCTTCCACATTGAGCTCCCAGACCTGGGTTATTCACATTTTTCTTTCCAAGGCAATGATGAACCCACCGCAGCTCTTTCCTATTTCTGGGATGCTTGGGATGCTTGGGATGCTACCTTGGACCATTGCCTGCCTGTGACGTCTGCTAGGACACCACCATCGACAAATACGAGCACACATATCCAGTACGATGCTCAGTCCATCGGCAAGGTCATAGCTGAAGAAACACACTGGACACTCTTACAGCAGACCGCTTATTGCAGAGCTCCTGATCCCAACGATCTAATCTTAGCCCTGGAGCCTATCACCGTAGGGGATGCCAACCGCGACTTGACAAGACGAGCCGAGGCTATATTTCAATCGCCCTCCCCGGAGAATTTGTCACACTATCTCAGTCTCTGCGTCTACTTGTCATCCAATAACCTAATGAACCAGCTATCAACGGACAATCTTGTATTGCTTATCAAGAAAAGCGGCTCTCAGTCAAGACTTAAAGCACTCTTGAAGTCAACGTCCACAACAATCGAGATATTCATGAGCAACCTATTAGCTAGTGCGGCGGCCGTGGGAGACATTGAGATCTGCCGAATCCTTATCGAGGCTGGAGCGGACCTAGATGTACCTAGTGGGCAGGGCATGCGGACAACAGCTCTTCGCCGAGCACTCGTGAGAAATAACGCGGAGTGTGCGAGGATGCTGTTGGAAGCCGGTGCAGACCCCAATCTAGCAGTGGAAGGGGAGACACCGCTACACACTGCATGCTCTTGCTTCAAAGAACTTGATATTGTGGAACTTTTGCTCCAGTTTGGAGCTCATGTTAATCCGCCGCAAGACTGTGCCCGACTCACGCCTCTGCAACTTGCTGTCGAGAATGGGGAGTCCGACTTGGTGCAACTTCTTCTTGATAAAAAAGCCAACCCGAACTCTTTCACCACCTCTAAGAGAGGCACACCTCTACAAATGGCATGTCGTTACCTTGCCGGTGCCAAAATAGTCGAGCTTTTGATCGCTGCCGGCGCGGACATTGATTCTCGCTCAAGTTACCGTTGCGACAATCGACGTTCCGATTACCTAGGGGAGAGCGATGATGCAGACTCTGAATCAGAAGAAGAGCCAGAGGAAGACTACCTTTTGGGTTGTACTGGCCTTCCCGATTCCTTTAAGCCAGCCATCCTTATAGCGGCGGAAAACGAGAATTGGGAGGTGGTCCAGCTTCTGTTGGAAGAAGGCGCCGCTGTCAACGCCAGCTTGAGAAAATGCCCACGTAAAGTCCTGGATTACGAACTTGACGAACTTAACTGGTTTGATACTCCGGCCGTATTTACACCGTTGCAAGCAGTTGTCCGGGAAGAGAATATCACCATGGCTCGCATGCTTTTGGGGGCGGGAGCCCATATCGATGGGAGGCCGAAAGGGGAGTATGGCCACACCGCGCTCCAGATATCTGCCATGATGGGGAATGAAAGGATCACTGAAATTCTCCTGCGGAAGGGAGCGGATGTCAATGCCCCAGCGGGCGTCTATCGTGGTAGGACGGCACTCCAGGCTGCTTCTATACATTCGGATACGACGGTGTTGAGCATGTTGCTCAGACAAGGGGCAGATGTAAATGCTCCACCGGCCCTACGTGAAGGCAAAACTGCCCTACAGATAGCAGTCGCCGCGGGTAACACCGAGGGGGTCAGGATTCTTCTTGGTGCAAATGCAGCTGTTAATACCGACCCAATTCGCACTGGGGGGCCGCAGCTCTCCAGGAAGCTATCCAAATCAGAGACTCGGCAATAAGGAATGAAATAGTTCACCTACTGCTGCGTGCAGGCGCGAATACTGAGGGTCTCAAAGACCGAAGAGCGTACGCGCCTCTCCATGCCGCAGTCAGACAAGGAGACCTGGAAATGACGAGGAAGCTCCTGGAGAAGGGTGCAAACCCAAATGTGGGATTTTGCGCGCAGACAAAACGAACTCCTCTGCAGGAAGCCTCGTCCGGAGGCAATGAAGGTCTGGCCCGAATATTGATAGACTTCGGAGCAGACGTCAACGGCCCGCCATGCGTGTCTGGAGGACGTACGGCATTGCAGGCAGCAGTTAAACAAGGCCATCTGTCTACGGTGAAGATGCTATTGACACATGGCGCGAAGATCAAGTCAGCTAGAGCTGCATCTCATGGAATCTCGGTGATGGAAGCTGCCGCCGAGAGATGTGATCAAGAGCTAGTCCAGCTGTTCCTCGATAAAGAACCGGACATTATATCATCTGACCCCATCACGAAGAGTCAAGTTCTAGGGCTAGCTCTGGACAGCTGGAAATGCGACGTGCCTTTGCTGGAGCTGCTGCTCAAGGGAGGAGCAGCCGTTAACGGTAACCTGTGGCCCCAGTCGAAAAAGCCATTTCTTCAAATTGCAGTAGAAAGACACAACTTTAGAGTGGTGCAGTATCTGCTTTCTGCAGGGGCCAACGCAAACGACCGCTGGGAAAGCAGCTCTCCTGGCAATGTCACAGCCCTTCAGGCCGCCGTTTATACGCGCAATATCGACATCGTCCAGTTACTGCTCGAAAGGGGCGCCGACGTCAATGCACCAGCAAACAAGCATGGAGGGAAGACTGCCCTGCAAACAGCAGTGTCAGAGGACCATCGAGTTATAACAGAGCTCCTGGTGCATCATGGGGCTGATATCAACGGCTTGCCCAGTCCAGTGAGAGGCCAGACTGCTCTCCAAGAGGCTGCAAGCTCGGGTTATGTGCAGCTCTCTGAATATCTACTGGCTCATGGAGCCCATGTCAATGCTCCAGCAGCACATTTGGGTGGTGTCACAGCGTTGCAAGGGCCGCGATACGCGGCAACATTCGCATTGTGATGATGCTACTTCAGGCCGGGGCAGATGTCAATGGAGCACCTGCCATTGAGCAGGGATTAAACGCCATTGAAGGTGCTGCGGGGAATGGCAGGCTTGACACTCTACATCTCCTGTTGAACTATCACCCGAATACCGAAGAGTTTGAGATCAGGAGAAAACGAGCGGCGAAACTGGCACTGACAAATGGTCACCTGGCCATTGGGAGATTTCTGCTGGCTTATCGTAAACATTCTTGAAAGAGGTGTAATGCGTCCTCTGTACCAGGGTGCAATATAAATTGCAGAAGGGAAAAGTTCATGTTGTTCTTCTTATTCACACAGATCGTTCTAGTACTACTAAAGTGTTCTAACTTTTACTCCCCAACGCAAGCTATTTCTCTCCAGCATCGTCTCTAGCAATACATCCTACACCTAGCGATGAATACCTCCCGCCCTCAGCCTCGCCGACCCAAACCTCTGCTCCGAATAGCCCCGCTCCAAGCCAAACCTCTCATTATCAGGCTGTCCCGGAAACCGCGGCTGACCCCCCCAGACAGGCCAACACCGCACTATTATTCACCGTCAAATCGTCCATGACATCCAGCTCCTCGGCACTGAACCACCTCGGCATTACCCACACCCGAAACGGAATCAACGCAAGGATCAGAATCGGGAACCCAATCGCCGCAATCGTCTGCGAGATGGCCACCGTCGCTGCAACACCCACCGCCTGGCAGGCAATATACAGCACGATCTTGCGCCTGCGCACTGTCAGCAGCGACTCATCGCGCTGGATGAAGCGGTTCTCGCGCGCCAGGAAGATGAGTTTCTGGAGGATGCCGTTTGACTCGATGGAGCCCCAGCCGACGGTGAAGAAGACGCCTGCGAAGACGACCGGCGGACATCGTGTGCAGGACTACCAACAGCGGGTGGGTCATGGTGCCGATGATGAGCAGGCCCATGAGGAAATGCGAGATGCGTTGCTCGACGGCGGTGGTGGCGGGTACGATTGGGCGGCGGATGTCGGCGCCCTCGCCTTCGGAGGTGGAGATGGTGCGGATGGAGGTTTCGTAGATGGTTAGGGGAGTCGGTGTGGACGGGCGCCTGGATGATATCGCTTATCTAGGATGAAAGAGACGAGGGCGGTTAGGCTGCTTACGTTCTTTTCTGGGTTAGTGTTGTTTGTTGAAGAGAAGTCAGGAGGCATACGTGGTCATAGTAGAAGAGGAGGATTACGAGGAAGCCAAGCGGCAGTGCGGCGAAGACCTATTTGACGCCGAGGTCCCAGAAATGGATGAGCCAGCCGCGCGGCTGGGTAGGGCACAAGGCGCGGTTGGCGAGGACGAACGAGACGTGCGTTGCTTTGAAGTTACCAGGTATATGCAAGAAGCCAACCCAGAAGATAGTCCCAATCTGTACATGTGAGTTGGTTGCAGGTTTGGTGGACTGGGGATACATACCACATATGCGTAGTCGGCCAATAAGCCCCTGAGCCACGGTTTCCAGATAGTACTGGAGCCAAGCCGTTCCAGGCCGTAGACGGTGAGAAAGTACAGGATGGCAATCATGGTGCTCATGAACCCGGCGGTGTTGCCGTGCGTGGTAAACTCGTTTACTAGTTAGTTCCTCGACTCCTTTGACTACTACTGTCAGTACCTTACGACTCCCATAACTGCAGGTGAACTTACTGCAGTAGATAATCCCAACATAGGCACCAAACGGCGAGATCAAACCCGTAATCCCGACGATGGTCAACGGCTGCGCACCAAACACACTAAATATCATCGCCGCCAGCGCGGACGAGAAGAGCGCCTCGTTGATGCCGTAGAATCCGCCGGTGCAGCGGGACATGTCGAGCGTGTATGCGATGGCGGGGAGCATGCTGCAGTTATCAGTAGGTGGCCTCAATGGCTAGTAAGGAGTGAAACGCACTTAACAAAGTACATCCGGATCGTACTCGCGACCACGCGGTACGTCCATGCATCAGTGATATCAGTCCAGTAGTATGGCAGCCTTTGACGCACGTCGTGATACATGGCCCGGAAGAGGTTCAGGGCGCGGAGGGACTTCCATCCTTTGCGGCCTTCGTAGGTATATGACAGCCAGGATTTCTCTCTTATTAGAGGCTGGTCGGAGGACATGGTGGGCTAAGTGATACATGAGATGGGGGTTTTGGTAAATGCATTGCGATGGGGAGGAATTGGAGTGCTTTTATGCTATTCTGTCTTGGGTTTCTTGGCCTTATCATTAGAGGGTGATCGAACGTTCGTTGAAAATCTCCCGGTGGAAGGATTGGCTTTGGCTGGCAAAAGCTGGAGGATGTATGAGGTGATGTGGTTGATATGGACAGGTGCAGGGTGGTGAGTCACGCCAGAGAGCGCACCGCAGCCATCTCTCTATTTCTCTATCTTCATCTTAAAACTGCTCCTAGCGCTCTTCTCATGGACTCAACGCTTCCGTGTTCATATGATCTGAGCAAATTAGACTTTCACTGCGCCAGCGATTTCCCCACCTGCCGCAACCTTAAACCTTAAACCCTTCAGCTCTTTATTCATTCGCCATCTCTAATTCAGAACTCTTCCTACCACAACATTCCCTTTCTTCAACCTTCTTACAACAATGTCGTCCCCATCCTCGCGCTGGTTCCACCAAAGAACAGACCCTGGCACAATCATCACCCTCGATCAACCTGTCCCTTCGCAGTGGAAGATCCTCGAGAAGCTCAATGAGCGTAACTTCCAGGCTAGTGAAGAAATGCGTCGTCGCCATGGCCACTACTCTTACGCTACGGCTAAACTCCTCTGTTGCGATCCAAAGAAGCCCTCCAGGAAAGCCTTCATGCGAGTTTATCTTCAGGTTCCTTTTAAGAACACTGAGATACAAGATCCGAAGACCAGATCCCGCCAGGCCACAACATACACGCCCCCAGAGTTAACTGCCTACCAGGAGTTTACTCAGAAGGATTTCAGCAATGTACCAAAGCTCCTAGGATACAAGGTCAGCACTCAAGATAAGTCAGGACTGGTCCCAAATGGGTTTGCGATCTGGCTGGTATGGGAAATGGTTCCAGGTCTACGCCTCGGTGATAAGCTTGGGAATGATCCATACTGGACTCTGTCCGCTGTCGAGAGGGAACATATCCGTATGGCCTTTATGGAGTCTCTTCCGTATGTCGATCCTCCCGTTTCCTGATCATGCTAACGATAAACTTTAGTCGGGCGCTCGAGAAAGGGTATGGACCTTATACGCCCAGTCTCTCTAAGCTAGTCTGGCACAGTCAAACAGGCACCCTGTATGTTATTGTGTTTTATGTCAAATAAGTGGACTAACATTTTCCATTCTCTTCAGTTACTTCATCGGTTACATCTACGGCATTAACGACGAACCTAAAGACCGGACCAACATCAGGATCGGTCCTGAGGCCCTAGCACGCTATGGCCTCGCGAAACCCTCTTCAGATGAATGGCGTAACGAAAATTGGAACGGGGATACCACAGGCTGGAAAATGTAGCTCATATAGGAGGGAGTCCATCTAGCACATCCCTTTCTAGCTTCATCGTTGCTCTTGAAGAAGGCACTTCTTGAATCTAATGTGAATAGGGGTCGCCAGTACCGGTAGCGACTATTGCATAGAGGACAATTCCTTTCTCCAGGTTGCTGGTGACGCCTTCGATAATACTCGGGGCTGCGGATTTGCTTCTTTCCTTGAAGCAGGATAGTTCAAAATAAACATGCCTCAGGAAAAATCCGGGAAGCACTACTCACATAGCCCCAAGGCATAATCATTTCTGGAGAAGTCCCCGTGAGAGCTAAAACTCACACTTGCTTTTTCTAACTAATAAAAAGGTTAAAATTTAGTACGAAGAGGTAGCCAAGGCACCCTTGGCGGAATAGCCAAATCTTTAGCAATGAGCTTGACAAACTCAGGGATAGTGGCATAACTAGTCTTCCTGTACCAAAACAGGCCCCATCATACAAATTACTAGTGATCCATGAACGGCAAGAGCCTTCAGCGATTTCAACAGGTAAACTCTTCCAGCTGCTTAGCCGACTCGATGACCTGCACTAGATGATGGTAATCTAAACCGGAGTTTTAAATAGTAATTTTGGTATAATTCACTGATTAAGGCAGGGGTTCTATACTGGCACTCTCCCTGCCCCTAATGGTGTTAAGTTGTTAACCCAGATGGATTCCACTCCAGGCAGCCAGCGCACCAAGTTCAAGCTGCCGCACAAGGCATAGGGCTGGTAATAGAACTAGTAATAGATACTTGTATTAGCATTAACAAGGAATTAAACCTTGTGAAGATATTATACGAATGGCAATAGTCTCCTGTAGGCTACTATTTGCATGGTTTAGGAAATGCTTAAAGAAATAACCCATCTCAGAGAGTGGAGACTTATTAGCTTGTGTAGTTAGCTTTAATAGCCTTCAAAGTTCCTTGCTGATAGGGCAGAAATTTAGTGATTCTAACAGTCGTAAGGCACTGAGTAATAACACTACCAATGCCTGGGCTAGAAACAGGGTTGCAGGTTATGTAGCTAGTCAAGGTCAGGCTTAGGTATCCTAGAAGTTATTTACCCTAAGGACATGAAAGCCACATCATAAGATAGTAGAAAGATAAAGAAGGGTGTAGGAAGGGGAGAGTTATACTCCATGCTAGCTAGATTTTAGAGTAGGATGTTAAGCATCTTCTACTGTTCTTACAGAGACTCAAAGCTGGCCTGCTAAATAGCCACAGTCAGATACTCCTGGTCTTTTAGTCAGAGGGACTACTGAGCAGGCTTCACTGTGTATAACTACATAATGCCATAACCTGCCGATGGGGATTAGTTCAGCTCTATATAGTAAATATACCGCCCATATTAAGGGGTTTTGAGAATCGACTGCAGGATTTTGAAGGCCACAGCCAAATCTCAGGTCTCTCAAAGCTCTACTCAGCGGTATCTGTGCTGAGTGGTCATATCATAAAGACAGTGCTAATAGTGGCATTGTAGAGAGAGCGCCGCTGCATCTGCATGTGATGAAAGGTAAGAAAGGATGTGCAGGAGAATCTCATCTGGGATGATTGGACTGACATTCTGATAGAACAATGCACTGGATGTTGATTTCAGAGGTTCAGTTATGCAACTCTATCAATTATAATGTGACTAGCACTAGGACGGACTAAGGAAGGTTGAGCCTTTCTTATAAAGTAGTAATTCACAGCGCGGAAGGGCCACAGTTTCTGGCACAAAAGCCATGCACAACTGTGTCCTTTTCATTGTCACCCAGACTTACTCCGTACTCTAGCCAATCGGGATGCCTTGACGTCAATGCGTTGAGTTGAGGGCTCTGATCGATGAGTCAGCAGCTTTTTCTGCGCGGGCAGATTCTTAGATACGGACGAATAGGGGGATGAGGGTATGGACAGTAACGCAACATCTTCGTCTCCTGTGATTGATATCTCTCCACTCAATGGCATGGCCGCTCCGCTGGTATCGCAATTGTGCACGTTGCTCGGCAACCAGCATTTTCCCTCGCAGCTGACATCGATTTTGAGTAATCGTAAAGCGAACGAGAGTTACGAGAGCAAAGACCATCTTGTGCTGCGCATAGAAGCGTCCATCTGTACAAAGGATGCATCTCGTTCGCCTCCTGACTCGATCCTTCTGGTAATTATCCTTTGCGGTAATGAGGCCCATACTGTATTCTTACATTATTAGGGTTCCATTGATCTGAAGAATGGACAAGTGATTCCAAGTTCCACAATCACTCCCACTGCTACTCCACCTCGAGTATGTCCATCTCGACTGGTAAAATAGTATGCTAATTTTCTAGGACGATGAAACGGACGAAACTGCACCATTAACCCCCAGATCAATCCAAAATGAGGAAGCGCATCCGCCCAAACGTCACAAGACGGTCAGCGGTTTGCGACCATCCCGGCATCTCCAGCCCGCTGGGACAACAGTAGAGTCACCAGAGCCGGACCATAGCGGCGATACTTCTTCTACAGAGGATCGAAGCACAGTCTCCAGATCAGTACGGCAGGTCCATAGTGACACCGGGTTCCCACAGCGTAGAAAAGCCGGACAGGATTACGCCGCGCCGGTCCTGGAACCTACATCAACCGACAAGTTGATTGCGGGGATCTGGAGACAGATGTACTCACCTGTGAAGCTGAGCCGAATTCCTGCTGTATGTTTCCAATTGGCTTTGCATGTACTTTGCTGATCGGACAGGTGGCTGAACCCACGATTAACATCCGCACTGGCGTCAGTGGAGATGTGAGTAAGCGGTGCTCGACTTGGATAGAACTTCGCTGAGAAAAGAAAAAGGTGTTCCGAGCTGTCAACACTCTGTGCATGAAATACTACAACCAGAGTCAGTCGTCTCGCGCCTTGGAGATGATCGTCCAGGCCTGCTGGATTGAATGCTATGAAGCACGGATCGCTGTCATCCGGCTGGAGAACCCGCATTTATCCAGCACCGAGACACGAATGACCGCGCTGAAAGAGGCTTGTGCAGTTCTTAATTGGAAGGAGAAGGATCTCCGGAACAGAATGTATCTCATCCACCATTGCCCTTTCCTACCTGACACTGACGACATAGGGCAATCTGGCGCGGCTACAAGGAAATCAAAGATGCCGGCGGCTGGCCCGCCCTGATCTTCGCCAGCTCCGGTGTCTACCGGTTCTGCAAATACCGCACCGGCTTCGGAGAAGGTTTCTCGACTCGTCTGCGCCATATCCGGTCGAGTTTAGAAGTTGCGGCGGACACCCTCCACCCCGAATGGAGGGATCTGTTGCATGTCATCGGCCAGGGGGATACTCGGCGCCTGTACCATGGCCACCCACATGAGTGGGTGACAGTAACCGGAGAGCCAGCACTACCCCTGCACGCGACCTATGCGCACCTCAACCTGCCGAGCGGGTTTCATTATCGCTTCATCGACGAGTGCGTGCTTGATACGGCAGTATTCAGGGACGAAGATCCCCGTCGCGTGCCCGATCTGGATCCGGATATCTGCCAGGTCTGCAAGTCGAAACAGGCCGACGACGTCGAACAGAACCAGTGCTCGTGTTTTCCGGCGCTATTCGGAGGCGTCAAGGGACCCGCTCCGGTGCAGATATTCAGTACTGCCAGCGGAAAGAACAA